CATGTATGTTATGTTTTTCTGTAGCAGTGTTACTAATGTAATCATACCAAACAAATCGCCTAATTAACAATTCTTAGTAAATTCTGATATTAATCAATCAAATTCAGGCAGATGCACTAAAGGAAACTAGCAACCTTTAGCAACTACTCTACTTGTTGAAAAGCAGTCAACAACAGACCCAAAAATTATGTCAGCCAAAGGAAAGGGTCCAAGGAAGCCTGCTGAATCCAATGCCTTCCTAGCCACTAAGTTATCTGGGAGAAAAGTCAGTCCTGATGGCGTTACTGTAGTGACAACAGATTGGAAATACTTCATAGGAAAGGGGAATGGGCTGTCTAACACTCTGCTCCTATTCTAATGGGCTACAATGAGTGCAATGTGTACTTTTACACTAGAAAGTATCAGTTCATGAGATACTGTAAAATTCTTTGGTAAAATTAAATATATAAATAAATCTCAAAAGATATTCCCATAATTTGGGAAATATTCCCCCTTTATCATTTCATAAAATATAAAAGGAAATGGGTAAAATGTCAGTCATAATTGGTATATGTGTGTGTGTGTGTGTGTGAGAGAGAGAGAGAGAGAGAGAGAGAGAGAGAGAGAGAGATTTGTGATGTCGATAGTATAACGGATGCAGGAGGAATGAAAGAATGCAGGAGTTTTATACAGCTTTCAGTCAGTTTAAGTAAGTTTACAAGTGATGATTTTATGTTAGCATGTTGCATGTATTCCTCTTGTCAACCACTAAGGAAAGACCTTTGACGTATACATTGAAGGAAAAGGGATCAAGTCGGCTCGGCTCCCTGGATGCGTCTTCATCATTCTTGGCTGTTTAAGAGGAAACCTTTAGGTGAGGCTCAGCAGCTAACCTTCTGGGTCATTCATCTTCCACATGTGTCCAGGCAGTGTTTAAAAGAATACAATTTGTGTGTTGTTATTTCGGGTATAAAGCTAGCCGTGCGAGAGCTAGGCGGGAATGCATCCCTGCCGCTCCGCTCCGTACTACACAGAGCTAGGTAGACAATGTTAGTTCTGATTACTGTCCAAGAACTTAAGTCCCTACCTGTTTATGACACCTGTAGCTCCTCAGGAGCATGTGGCTAGAAGAGGTGGTTATGTGCAGTTGATAAAGGCCGGTAGTCCACTCTCAACAAAGCCAGACCTTCTAACCATGTGGTTGGGATTTGCTGAGAGATTCTCAGATTGCTGGCCTTGAATGCACTATGTAGACTAGATTGGCCTCAGACTCTCAGAGACCTGCATGCCTGTGGTTCAAGAACGCTGGGATTAAAAGTGTGCTCTACACTTGCCCAGCCACACACAACCCCATCATGTGGTGAACTAAAGTGTAAAGTTTTCTGCTCCTCTTTTGACACATGCGTGTACACTGTGGATTAGATGTCACTCCACAATGCTCCTAACTCTTAACCTCTAGAGTGAGATGTAGAGACTGGACAGGGTTGGCTACCAGCCTGGTGCCCTAGTCTCTGCAGTGATAGATACTGCAAGCTGGGCGTGGTGCTGAAGAAAGACGTCGGATAGGTCTGAAAAGAAATAGTTGTACTCAGCCTGGTGGTGGTGGCACATACACACCTTTAATCCCAGCGGTTGAATCTCTGTGAGTTTGAGGCAAGCCTGATCTACAGAGTGAGTTCCAGGACAGACAAAGGAACACAGAGAAACCCCGTTTCAACAAAACAAAACATTAGAAATATTAGTATTCTCCACATAATGTTCATTATAAAATATCGAATGGAGAACATTTGCCATGAATTTAACTACAAAAGTAATCGTAATTCTTCTTGTTATTAAAATCATAAAATCACAGGCCATCACATACTCTAATCAGGGCTCAAGTGTCGAGTCGAGTGGAGAGAAGATGAATCTCCATATCTCAGTCACGTGCTTCATGATTTCCTTCACGTTACATGGTTGAGAGTGCTATGCACAGACACCGAATTTGTTTAGTGAATGTACTAATATTTAATGAATCAAGGTTGGTGGAGTAAGCATATCTTCATTTGGATTCCATCCAAAGGTAAATTTGGGTGTAGGTGTTTTGGAACACAAATGCCTTGATGAACACATATGGACTCGTGAGGGGAATTCACACTCCAGTTATGATGTCTTCTCTCCACCCAACCTTTGGAGCGTTTGGTTTTGTGGCTGAAGAAGCCCTCGCCTACTGAACAAAAGGGGCCTCGAATAAACACAGTGAGAAGGAATGAGCAAACCATCCTTAACTCCAAAAGAAAATAGATAAGGTCCATTATAGACAAAGATGCTTTACATACACATCAAAACTACTTGGCCTGCTAACACATGTTATCGAACCTGTGGCAAGCTTGCACAGTGAAAGCAATCTCCCAGACGCTGATGTAGTAAAATTGTCATTGAGCGCCTGCTGTCTGTAGGACCTGATTTGCATGTGTTCATCAGCTTCTCAGTTGTGGGTTGTCCTTTGGGTTCATCAGCAAGTTAGCTTTGGTTTGATTACATAGCCAGTGAGAAAACTTTTGCCCCGTTGTATTCTGTGACTTTTATAAGAGTGGAAAGTGGCTAGAATTCAGTTTAGATTATTTTTAGAGTATTTCAGCAAATTGGATTTAGTCTAAAATTTAAATCCAAGTTGCTTCCAATACCATATTTTACAAAAAGAGAACAAAGCGAAACGTTTAAATGTGGGGTTTTCATGTTTTGAAAGTGTTTGCTAAAGCACACGGAGACATATTTGGGTTGTACGAATTTTATGCTTGAACTACAGCTACAGATTTTAAGGTTGTTTTAAATTGTTCCCAGCTTTAGTTTTCCCTGCGTACTTTAGCTGAGTATCTCACATGTTTCTTCTCATGGTGTAGTCTCAGACAGATGGAGAGGAGATGGAGGGGTGAGTGGGGAGGCTTTGCCTCCAGAGTGCTGGGCTGAAAGGTGGGCCCTGGTGAATTTGGGTGGGAATGACTTTAGATTACATATTTAATATGTAAGAGCTGTTGCTTTTACCTATTTTTTCTCCTTTTTTCCTTTCACAAGATGTTCACCTAAGACATAAGAAGTCAATCATTTCCTTACAATCCGAGACTGCAAGAAAACGGTCACAGGAGAGTCTCCCCTGGCAAGCCTCCCTAAAACGGTAACTGCTTACCACAGGCCTTTCAAGCTTCCCTCCGGCTGCAGTGGTTTGGGTTTGGTGCCCTCACATGTTAATTCTGGAAACTGAGGTTGTGACATGATCTTGTTATGGGTATACTGGAGAGACTAGCACTATCTTACATTTAAATGGTGATTCAATTCTTAAAATATGGTTTTATTAAGCGCTAAGAAACTTTCCAAGTTTTCTTTTTTGCCAGACAAACTTAAAATGCAAATTTGAAATTAATTTAGAATTGGCCTCTCTTTAGAGATAGTTTTGCATGATTTCTGGGCTTTGATGCATAGGATATATACATGTTGATGTCGATTGAGATGGATACCTCCTCTCTCTCTCTCTCTCTCTCTCTCTCTCTTTTCTTTCTTGTTTTTTTTTAAAATAATTTTTATTGATTCTTTGAGAATTTTATATCCTGCACCCCAGTCCCACTTGCCTCCAAGTCCCTCCATATCTGCCCTTTATCCTGCCATTGGCCTCCCAAAGGAAAACTAAATAATAATAATAATAATAAAATTAAGATAAAAATAAAAAACAGTAAGAATATTAATTAAAAACAAAAAATAAAGAAAAAAACCAAGTTGTCCTTGACCTTAGAGATATGCCTGCCTCTGCTTCCCAAGTGTTGGGATTAAAAACATGTGCCGCTGTACGTCTTGCATTGAACATTTTTAAACATAATATTTTTTACTGATTCTTTGGGAATTTCACATCATGCATCCAATCCCACTCATTCCCCAGTCCATCCGTATCTGACCCTCACCCTTGCAGTGTTCCCTCCAACAAACAAAAAGCTGAAAAAATTACTACTAATAAAAAAAGGTACTTCACTTCTCATTTTTCCCTATTTCTCCATCACCTCTTCATTTGTCTTAGTGGCACTGGGAGCTGTGGTGTGTCATGCAGTAGATGCATTTGTCCAAACAGCTTTATATATAAATGTTCACTGCAATGAGTGGTTGGTCTGGTTCAAGGTACACCATTAATGGTAGACCGTCACCAGAAGTCCTCTGGGGTATCCTGTGGTTTCCCTGAGTCTTAAAGACCCTGCAGCTGTGGTTCACAGGACCAGTCCCTTCATATCCTCCAGCAGGTCATAGATGGGGTAGATGTTGGATTGGGCCAACTCAAAGCTGTGGATGTGGGCCTGGGCCGTAGCTCAGTTGGTCAAACCAGGCCTCTGCTTGGACCTTCCCTGTCAAGTGAGGGTCTGGGCCAGCTCCCCTGCATCTACACCATCATGGTTAGCTGTCCCATGCCTGTGGTGAGGTGTGGGGCCAGCTTTCCTGAATACGGAGCCAGCTCTCCCAGGGTTGGAGTCTTCAGGGCCAGTGAGGGTTGGGGCCAGCTCTCTCATGAGGGGCAGGGCCAACACTCCTGATGCAGCAACTAGTAAAGGAGAGGGCCAGATCTCCCAGGGTCAGCAAAGGGCAGGACACTCTCAGCATGGTACTTGGATTTCAATACACATGACTTCTGTCTATGTGTTACTTTCATTGGTCAAATAAAGAGACTGCCTTGGCCTTTGATAGGACAGCAGCTTAGATAGGCAGAGTAGACAGAACAGAATGCTGGGAGAAAGAAGCAGAGTCAGGCAGACACCATGCTTCTCCTACCCAAGATGGACGCAGTTTAGAATCTTCCCGGTAAGCTACCACTTCGTGGTGCTATACACATTATTAGAAATGGGTTAATCAAGATGTGAGAGTTAGCCAATAAGAGGCTAGAAATAATGGGCCAGGCAGTGTTTACATGAATACAGTTTCTGTGTTATTATTTCTGGGGCTAAGTAGCCATGCGGGAGCCGGGTGGGACAAAAAGCAGGCCTGCTCGCCTCATCACTCCAACTCGCATGGCCCCAGTGGAAGAACAGGCCACAGATATCAACACAGACCCCACCTGTAGCATGACAGCAGACCCAGACATAGCCCTCGGCAGCAGCTTGTACCCAGATGTCACCATGGACCCTGTTGATGGCAGAGGCCCCTCAGATCAGTATGTCCCCAGTGAAGGCATGGCTCTCAAATACCAGGATAGCCTCGGTTGGCAGCCCAGATGTTGGGCATCTTCATGGCCGTTGGTGATAACAGGAGCCATGGACATCAGCACAGACCCTGGATATGGTAGGGTTACAGACCTAGACCTGGCCCTTGGCAGCTCAGGCCCTGGTGCCACCATGGCTCTGGGTAGTAACACAGGCCACCCACATCTCTGCATTGAATTTATAAGCTTCTTGTTTTTCCTTTAACAAGCCTGAGACTTAAATATGAATGAATCTTAAACAATCATCAAGTGTGCACTTTTTCCTTAGGGTAAGGAATGTTGAAAGTAGCTGGAATACTCTGGAAACCAGTACGCAGACTGCAATGCCTGGAGGCACACTGCTGCCTGTGGAAGCCCAAAGGGAGTAAACACTAGACATCATAGAAAAGGAGAGGAGCCCAGCCTGGTCCTCTTTGTGAAATGCACGATTAAACACAAGTGCATACAGGTTGAATCTGTCTATTACCCAATACTAACCTTAACCTAAATGACTCGGAGGCCACCTAAGCATGGCCCTTTCTACACTTACATGCTCCTGGGCATTTTTTCCTTTTTTTTGAAATATTTATTTATTTATTTATTATGTATACAGTATTCTATCTATGTGTATGTCTGCAGGCCAGAAGAAGACACCAGACTTCATTACAGATGGTTGTGAGCTACCGTGTGGTTGCTGGGAGTTGAACTCAGGACCTTTGGAAGAGCAAGCAATGCTCTTAACCACTGAGCCATCTCTCCAGCCCCAGCTCCTGGGCATTTGTAAGTGGGTCCTCTGTGTGCCCTTGTGAGTGTGGGTGTGAGGACTTGGGTACATGTCCTATTTCTGTCTTACCTCTGTTGACACTGGAATAGGGTTTCCCAGATTAGTGTAGGGTATCTGTGATCACACACACGTAATGCCATACTAGGAAATTGACACTAGACTGACCTTCAGGGAGCAGGACAGGACTATGACTATGGGAAGATGCTAAGAGGAAATTTTTTTTTTTCCTGGGACTCATGTGGTACAGATGGAATGGTTTGGTGAGGGTCTGGCTGAAGCCAGGCTTCTCAGATTAGTGTGTGGCAGGAGCATATGGACACAACTGTGTCCCATTGTACACAGGGAAAGGCAGAAGGAGAGAAGTTGGCAGCCCCGGTCAGCCCTAGAGAAAGCCTGTGTGGAGGAGGTTCAGACCAGAGGACCCTAGGAAGTGACCTCACTTTCTTAACAATGGTCCAGATGGAACTTGGAAACCTGGTTACCAGGTAGCCAGAGGCCAGCAGCAGCCTCTACTAAAGATGTTCTCCTGTTTCCAGAAATCTAGCCACTCAGGCCACAGAAAAGGCAAGGGAGGTGTCCTTGGCCACCTTTGGGGACGTTGGGTGTGCCTTCTCACACACCTCTGGCTACTTTAGAACAGGGAAGATAAGGTAAGACATGCCAGCCTGTAGCAGGAATCCTTTCCGGTCCCTGCCTGGGGGTATGATCCTCTGAGAAGACTGAGGAACATTCTTTATGCCCACTTCTCACTTCACTGTGTGGTAATGGGTTGTTGGTGTCTCTCAGAGTTTCCACATTTAAACCCTCCTTCCTTCCTTGGTCCTTCCTCAGGGTCAAATGGGCCTGGGCTCCCTACTTAAGCCCCTCAGGTTTGGTCACAAACGGTCAAGCCTCCTGGAAAATGTGAAGTACCTAGCGACTGCTCTGAACACTGGCAACTATGACTTCGTCATGACTTTCCTTGATGTCTACCCAGCTTTTGCCACCACCTGGCAGGTGCTGGAGCTGATAATGAAAACGTGAGTGTCGACACCTGAGTTCCGGCCCTCGCGTCTCCCGGTTCGGTTTTTAGGAGGACACTGCTCTTCTCCAGGGCTGTGTGCTCGTGTAGGAGAAGAGTGATTGTACCTCAGGAGTGTTAGTGTGCTGTCTGACCCTTTAAAGTGTCATGGCCAGAGATTGAGGGCAGGGAGATGAATCTAGCTTGTGATATTCACTTTTTCCCAAGAAGTGTCAAACACTACTCCTTCTTATGCCTCGAGTAGTCTTTTCCCACTTGGAAAAGAAGGTTCTAGACCCTATCTGGGTTATATGGGATCAATGGAGCCAGACAAGGATTCCTGCAGGGGCCCCAGGAGATCCTGTAGACTTTGGAAACCTAAAAGGTAGCAACTTGGGTTTCATCCATTGCATTCATGTCCTTGAAGATCCGTGGCCAGATGCCCATTCCCAGGCCCTCAGCATGGAAGTCAGAAGAGTACAAAGAGCCCCCTACACTCCTACCCTCTCCCTAGCTTCTATTCCTATACCAGAGTCAAGTACCTCCCTCTAGATCTCTGGGTGGGTTGGGGGACACAAAGCATTAGCCGTGACACACGCATGAAATTCCACAGGTATGGATCTTTGCAGTCTGACAGCATGAAGGATCAGAATACAAAGATGTGAGTGGGCTTTGGGTGAAGAGGGAGGTAAGAGCCCATATGCGGAGTGGGATCTTTGGGGTGGCTAGGACTGAGGACTAAGCTAAGCCATTCCCAGTCTCCGTGCTCTTGGGATTTCCACTAGAGAGATGGTACCAGAGACTTCACATGCAGGTGGAGAAAAGCAGAGATCGCCAACAGTCTCCTAGTTCTGAGAGCAGAGGGAAGGATGAAGCTAAAGGGCCCTAGAAGAATCCATCCCCACCACAGCCCAGCCCAGTTTGCCCAGTCTGTCCTCTAAAGGACAGAAATTGTCTGGAGCCCTGACCACTCTGCCCTGCAGTACTGGTGCGGGGCATCTTTTTACTCATCTGAGGGACCACTGCTGTGTTGGTGAAGGGAGGCCAGGTTTCTGACTCTACTTTTTGCCAATCTGTATGCCTTCCTGCAGCGCCATAGAATTCTTTTTGGGACTGATGATGAAAACAGTGCCCCAGGATTTTAAGAAGAATCCAGACTGGGTCGTCTTGAACAAGTTTCTGATCTACCTGCGACTCCACATGCCCTTTTCCAACCTCCACCTCCACGTCCAGAAGCTGATATCACAGCTGGAGGAGCAGGAGTCCCAGGAAATACATGAAGAGGATGAGGAGGCCAGAGGTAGGTGTCTAAGAAGGTAGGAGCTGGTTTTGGTGATGGGTTGCACTTTGGAATTCACCAGAAGCCATGACCTGGAACCAGAGTTGGATACTGTTGTGGAATGTTAGTTTAAGGTATGTTACATTTGTTTATGTTGTGGAATATATATTTAATGATGCAAAGATGTGTTGCATTCTTTTATGTTGCATTTGTTTAACTCTGTAAAACTGTGTTATTTTGCCTGCCTAAAAACACCTGATGGATATAACAAAGAGCTGAATGGCCAATAACTAGGCAGGAGAGAAAAATAGGTGGGGCTGGTGGGAAAACAGAATAAATAAGAAGAGAAAACTAGGGAAGAGAGTAAAAAAAAGGAAAAAGAAAAGGAGAGGAGGATGCCAGGGGCTAGCCACACAGTTACACAGCCACACAGCCACACTGCCAGTCACAGAGTAAGAAAGAAAGGAAGTTATATAGAAGAAAGAAAGGTAAAAAGTCCAGAGTCAAAACATAGAGAAACAGGATCCTTTAAATTAGAAAAGCTGGCTAGAAACAGGCCATGCTAAGGCTGCACATTCATAAGAAAGAATGTCTCCACGTATTTAGTTGGGAGCTGGGTAGTGCCCACAAAGAATGAAAAAACCTGCCAGAGGACACCAGTCAGGTGATATGTCCTGTTGTGGGAGAGGAGAGTGGAGATTCTCTGGCATGAACAGGTCTTGTGTGACCAGCAAGGTCATCTCTCGGAAGCCCCCCCCCCCAATCCTGGAAACTTCTAGACCATCTCCACTAATGGTCCATCTCTCTGTCCTTAGATTGTGAGATCATCAAAGCCCCAGAACAGGATACCTCAGGGATGCAAGAGACACTGCATCTAAGTCCAGCTTCTGGGGCAGAGCCACAGGGAGATCTGAAAACTCAAGAGGACATTGATGTCGTGGACCCGGCGGCTGGGGAACCTACTGAGTCGGAAGCTGAACCAGCGCAGCTTCTGAATGTTGATCAGCCTCTGCCCACACCAGCCGATTCCCTAGATGCAGCTGCACGTGTCCCCCACGTCAAGCTCTTATTTCCAGTGTCTGTTGTGGGATTAGGTGACCCAGAGCCTTTTTTCCCGCTGCCTGATGTTGATATCTAGGCTAGGTAGTGGAATTACCGGCTGAGTTCTACAGAGAAGCAGCTCCACTCCTGTGTGGTACTTTAGAGAAAATATCTCTCTTCATTTTGTTTAATTCTTTTATATTGTTGTTTTCATGGTTACTATTTCATTTTGTTTATTTTTTATTGTTGTTTTTTGTTGAGTTCTTATTTATAGTTTATTATTAATAAACATTTATTTGTTTACTTATTTTAAATGGTATGGTTCAAGGACGTGATGTCTGTTTCCCATGTGGTACAATCTACTCAGGTCAACCTAGAAACTGCAGCCCTGAGCCGAACAGGTCAATCCTGGAAGGAAGACCCTTGCAGGCCATCCTGGCAACAGGGAAAACCAAACTGATGATGTGGCAGAAAATGGGCAAATAGCAGCAGTGGCGAGGAAACCAACGAACACAAGTGTGAACGGACAGTCCTGTGCTCAGTGGCGCCCCCAGTGGACATAGATTCTGAGCTCAGATACACACTGGGGGTCACAGACATAGGTTTTCCTTTCTCTCTGGGCTTCTTTTCTGTCTCTGGACAGCAGGGCCATGCAGGAAAGGATGAAGTCATCTTACCTGTCATGGTGCTCATCATTCTCACCAACCCAGAGCCCAGAGCTGTGCACACACTCACCACACCTTGTGACACTGTCACACCCCAACAAACATGTTTAAACAGATCATTTTTATAAAGAATTGCCAGGCTTTCCCACAATTCTGGGGTTATCAACAAATGACAAGGTTGAGCCCATGGATGTTTTACATGTTTGTCTGTGGGCAGTGGATTGGATGCAGTCTCACTGTTCACTGTGCACAGACAACCCTCCACAGGACAAAACTAGAGATCAGCATCAAAAATGGCTCACTGTGGTTCTCACGCGGGGCATATGAGAGCCTTCTACCACATAGAGGGCACTGAATGGAGCCAGGGGGGTCTTTCAGGGTGTAGAGCAGCTCATGTGGGCTCTGATCAGGGAGGACACCCCCTCACGTACATGTACATGCACTCACGCACACACACGCGTGCGCACACACACACACACACACACACACACACACCACATCATGGGCCACCTAGGCATGTGGCTTGGTGAAAGGTTATATACATCAGGCTAGTCCATGTCTCATCAAGAAGAAGTGAGCTGAACATGTCATCTGGTCCCAGAGCTGGCATGTCTAATGCCTCTGGGAACCTGGATACTCAAGGCAATACTGGCCAGGCTGAGGGAAAGCCCACTCAGGCTGCAGGTTGGAGACAGGCTTCTCTGTAGAACAATTTAAGCCTGTCCAGCACAGAGGGTAGAGACAGGACAGTAGCTAGAAAGGATGGCCAGCAGAGGTCTAGCAGTCATCTCTATCCACAGGGAAAATGAACTTGTCCATTATCAATGTGTGTAGAAAAATTTGAGGAATCTGTAGCATTATTAGTGCTAGGAAGCCTAAATTGTTGAAGCAAGGTAAATTCTCAGAGGGAAAATCAGAATTCATTTTCTGAGGTACATGAAAACGATATTCATTTGCTGCTTCGGTTGTGGAACGACTCACATAAATCTTTGCTTATTTTTACATTGATAAAATTGCTCTCTGGGGCTGGGGGTGTGGTTTACTGGTAGAAGGCTTATCTATCTTGGCTAAAAGTCCTGGTTTGGGTCCCCAGAACAGAAAAGAAAGGGAACTAAATAAACTAAACAAACAAACAAACAAACAAAAAACCCCAAAAAAACCTAAGATATAAAATGTGCTTTGGGTTGGTGAGGTGACTGGTGAGTGGCTGGGTGACATGAGTGTGATCCCTAGAGCTCAAATGCTGAAAGGAGACAGGAGACAGCCATCTCCTGCCAGGTGTCCTCAGATCATCACAGGTGTGCTGTGACCCGTGTGCTGCATGTGCGTGCATGCACACACATGTGCGGGCACGCACACACACATAAGTACAATAATACACTCCCGCCAGGTATTCTCTGATATTCACCAGTGTACAGTGACAGGTGTGCACACACATGCATGTGTGCGCATATATACACACACACACGTACACATACACAAATATAACGTGTCCTTTGAAATTCACTGGTGTACTGTGACAGGTGTGCACACACATGCATGTGTGCGCATGTATACACACACGTACACATACACACGTACACATACACAAATACAATGTGTCCTTTGAAATTCACTGGTGTACTGCACACACATGCACACACATACACACACAAATATTACATAAGGATAACAAATTAAAATTCAATTGTTTATACAAAATTATTCTTACCAGGTTCTCATAACTACGTAATAAAAAAGGACTCTGCCTTCCTCTGGCTTAATTTTTTGGGATTTTTCTTTGTTTTTCTAAGCCAAAAGTTGCAGAATTAAGCTCTGCAGTTTGGAGAGAGGAGTGGTTTCATCGACTTACAGCATCGTACAGTCGTGACTTTGAATAAGTTCCAAGACAACAGTTAACGCTGTTTCAAAAATTAAAATACCGCACAGATCATTCAGGTCCCATGAGTGGATTTCCTTCCACAGTGAAAAGTCTTTGAGGGCTTTGCCAAAAAAAATTTATTTCTTACACTAAACATTTAAAGATTGAGGTTCGAAGAATCAGGAATTTTGTTTTTTGTTTTTAGTTGTGGTGGTGGTGGTGGTAGTGGTTTCTTTTCTCTTTTCTTTTTTGTTTTTCAAGACAGGGTTTCTCTGTGTAGCCCTGGCTGAACTGGAACTCACTTTGTAGACCAGGCTGACTTCAAACTCACAGAGATTCGCCCGTCTGTTTCCCAAGTGCTGGGATTAAAGGTGTGCGCCATCACTGCCTGGCTACAGGAATAGTTTTAAGAGGCAGTGTGAAAAACGAAGTAGGTAACCAGGTAAGGCACACCACTGTGCACAAGTGGCCTTTTGGTGTGCACACAGTCAGATCCTTAGTTAAGGCTGTTTTTGTTAGCAGGGGCAGCGCTCCTACAGCGTGGACATCCAACTGCAATCATATAATGGAGATCAGTTAAGTTCCCTGAGCAAAATGTTTACTGACAAATCATTGAAAAGGAAAGCTATTGCCAGGCAGTTAGTTACAGCGCATGTCTCAGAAATCGCTGAAGCGCCTCCCAAAGGATGCATCGCCCTCTGCAGGCCATCAGGAGAATAGGGAGAAGTTGACTTGCTAATGACGACTGCTCTCTCCCAGGAACGCATTGAGTCAAGGAGGCAGGAACCTAACTCTTCCCAGTTTCAGTGATGTTTTCTCTCTGCTGTTAAACCAGAAGTCTGGTTTTCTGCCTTTTCTTTGTTACTGGAGACTGAACTCAGCATCCTGCTCACAACAGAGACCCCCTAACTGCTGAACGATGTCCCCAACCCTTCCCACTTTACCTTCTGCCCTCCCGGTCTGGTGCCACCTCAGCCACCAATCCCAGGATACAGATGGTTCAGGGCTAACAGTACCGTTTCAAATTCTAGCTTCCTAAACAACCCTCCTTCCATGTCCTACAGGCTCTTTGTCATCAGACCCTCATGAGTCCTTGGCCTCTTCTCTTTTCTGGAATCAGGAGATAAAATAAGAAGCTGCCTAGGACACCTGGCCCAGTTACGAATCTCCATAAAGCTCTTAACGGCATGTTTGCAGTAAACATTGCCAGAAGCCTGTTGGATTAAAAAGGCAAAAGGAAATCCTTAAACACAGGACTAAAATTGTCTGGGCAGTTGATTGACAGAAGAGAAGGGACCCCGGAGTCTCTCTGTGGAGCCAGGTTGCGCCTAGTCCTATTCTGTACCCACATACCTGAGTAAGCAGCTCCAGACACAGCTTGAAAAAGATGGTGCCTGACCTGGAGCAGGAACAAGTGGCCCTGGCCCTCAGCCCAGAATTGTCACCAGGAATGTGTCCAGGAATGGTTATAGCTCGTTTCACTTGGCACAGATCAATTCAATTTAAAGGAAGAACAGAGGGAAAGGCTATTATCTTTAAAGGGCCACAGTGAACCTTCCAGGGCTACAGTTATCACCCAAAGTGACAATCACTCCAGTCTTTACTATTTCATTGATTTGATATCTCTGTACGCTAAATTTTCTTTCTTTCTTTCTTTCTTTCTTTCTTTCCTTTCTTTCTTTCTTTCTTTTTTTTTTTTTTTTTGATTTTTCGAGACAGGGTTTCTCTGTAGTTTTTGGTTCCTGTCCTGGCACTAGCTCTTGTAGACCAGGCTGGCCTCGAACTCACAGAGATCCGCCTGCCTCTGCCTTCCGAGTGCTGGGATTAAAGGTGTGCGCCACCACCGCCCTGCTCGCTAAATTTTCTTAAGACAGGCAGAGCGTAGTTGTAAAAAAAAATGACATTAAGAAATTTGCAGGCAAATGGATGGAACTAGAAAGAAATCATCTTGAGTGAGGTAACCCAGACCCAGAAAGACAAACATGGTATGCACTCCTCATAAGCAGATATTAGGAGTAAAGTATAGGATAACCAGGATACAATCCACATTCCCAGAGAGGCTATGTAACAAGGAGGGCCCAAAAAGGGACGCATGGAACTCCCTGAGAAGGGAAATAGAAGAAATCTCTCAGGTAAACTGGGTGGGGGAAGAGGGGGGAGAAGGACATGGGAACATGAGGGATCAGGTTGTGAGGGGATGGAGTGGGAGAGAAACGAAAGAGCTGTCTTAAAGGGGAGAGGGGAGCATTTTGGGGTTAGGAAGAAACCCGAGGCCAGGGAAACTCCCAGGAAGCCACAAGGATGATCCCAGCTAAGACGCCTAGCATTGGTGGAGAGGGTGCCTGAACTGGCCTTCCCCTGTAATTAGATTAGTGACTACCCTGATTGTCGTCATAGAACCTTCACCCAGTAACGGATGGAAGCAGATGCAGTGACCCACAGCCAAGGTCTGGCCTGAGCTCCGGGAGCTCTACTAAAGTGAGGAAGGAGAGATTGTTCAAGCCAGGGAGGTCAAGATTGAAAGACCCTCAGAGAGGACCTTTTCCTCCAATGAAGTCCCCAGAACCAGGACACTCCGAGTCCAGACCACAGGATGCAATTAGCAAGAGGTTTATTGAGTAAACACAGGTACCTGCGGGCAGCAAAGTCTTTTAGAGGACTTGCACGCCTGCAGACTGGGGGGAGGTCTTTTTATAGGGAAGAGCAAAAAGCAAGTTTACAGAAGCAAAAGCGTGGTTATCAGAATGAAGCGGGGGGCATGACTGTTCCTATCTCATAGATATCCTGTTTTGCAGTCAACCTGCTTTGTTGATGTCCTATCTTATTGACATCCTGCCCTGCAGTCTTCCTATCTCATAGACATCCTGCTCTCTCAAGCACATGGGATGTTCTTACGAGAGCAGGCTGGCTGCTGATCCGGAGAATTTTTTTAAAGCAAACAGGACGTTACCCCGGGAGCATGCTAGCTGCGGGTTTTGAGGAGGGGGTCTGTAGGGTCTTTCAAAGACCATGATGGGGGAACCCCCTTATACAACTGACCAGAGTATGTGAGAGTTCAGTCTCTGGACGGACAGCTAGGGAGCCTGCATGGGGACCCACCTAGGCCATCTACATGTGTATGACAGTTGTATCACTTGGTTTGTTTGTGGGGCTCTCATCAGTGCGATCAGGACCTGACCCCGGCCCCTGCACTTGAGCTGGCTTTTGGGCCTATTCCCCATGCTGGGTTACCTCACCGGGCCTTGATGCAGAGGTCCTGCCTCAACTCGGTGTGCCATGCTTTGCCCATGGGAGGCCTTTCTGAATGAAGACGGAGAACTGGATGGGGGAGGGACTGAAGAGAGGCAGGGGAGTGGGAGGAGAGGAGAGAGGAAACTGGTCCATGGTATATAAAAAAATGAAAAATTTTAATTAATTAAAAAAAGAAAAGAAACAGGCGAAGTGTCTAATTTCAAGCTGGTAGAATGATTAGGGAAGAAGCAGGAACCAGGCCTCCAAAAATAATACTGTTGGTTTTACCATAATCATCTCAGAGGCGCCGGCATCCGTCTTTATTCCCAGCACTCGGGAGGCAGAGGCAGGGGATCTCTGTAAGTTCGAGGCCAGCCTGGTCTATAGAATGAGTTCCAGGACAGCTAGGGTTACACAGGGAAATCCTGTCTGGAAAAGGCAGGGAAAAAAAAATCTCCTGGGGCTTGAGAGATGGCTCGGGAGATAACGGCACTGGCTGCTCTTCCCAAGGACCTGGGTTCAGTTCCCATCACCCACATGGTGGCTCACAACCATCTGTAACTTTATACCCTTTTCTCACCTCCGTGGGTATGCACACACAAGGTACATGGACATACGTACATACAGATAAGCCACTCGTACACATAAAATAATTTTTTGAGAAAAATCTCTTATAGATGTCTCCACAAAAAATTTCCTTTATACCTGGGTATGTTCTGCCCAACATGGCAGCTAGCAGCTAGGTGTGGCTTTTAAATGTAAGTGGGCTAAAAGTAAGGGCAACTAAAGGTTAAGTTTCTCACCTGTGCTCCACCTTCAAACACTCAGGAGCCACAGAAGGTGAGGTGTAAGGACACAAGCAAGTTTCAAACCAGAAACTTCCATCAGGAAGTCCTTCTGTTTCCTCCGTAATCAATAAGCAGAAACTGTGGCTGACTAAGCTGTTCTTTTAACCTAATTTATTGATTCTTCTGGAATTTCACATCATGTACCCCAATCCCACTCAGCCCCCAATCTCTCCATATCCACCCCTTACCCTGCAGCATACCTCCAAAAAATAATTAAAAACGAAACCAATAACAACTCCAACTTTCCAACACCTCTTCATTCATCCTAGTGGCGTCAAGAGTGTCCATGTCGAATGCAGTCTGCCCCTTTTGTCCAATCAGCCCCACCCGTGAAATGTTCATCACGGCGAGTCATTGGTCTGGTCCTCTGGCACAGCATCATCACCGGACCTGCACGGAAACTCCTCTTGGATATCCCGCTGTTGCCCCCAGTCATGGAGATGCTCCAGTTATTGTTCCACAGGACCAGTCCCTTCATGCACTCCAGCAGGTCAGAGATGGAGTAGATGCTAGGTTGGGCCAACCCAAGACTCAGGATGTGGGTCTGAATGGAAGCTGAGCTGGTTGGTCAGGGACACTGGAATTGCCCCCTCAGGCAAAGGACAGAGCTAGATCTCCTGGGCCCATGCTATTGGGACCAGCTCTCCCACACCCATGGTGAGAGGTGGGACCAACTCTCCCGAGTATTCAACAACAGGCAGGGCCAGCTAGTCCAGGGCCAGTGAGGTGCAAGGCTGGCTTAGTATGGCTCTCAGATTTCAACACATATGGTTCCTGTTACCAATGGGCCATGGACATCATCACAGACCCTAGCTGTAGCAGGAACACTGACCCAGACAGTAGCAGCTCAGTCACCATGACCCCAGTAACAACACAGGCAACTCAGATCAGTATGGCCCTATTGGCAGTAAGGTCCACCAACGTGATCTCAGGTGGCAATCCAGACCCTGGGCATCTGCTCACCACACCCAACCCCCATGGCAACAGGTGTTGTGGACATCAATCCAGACTCTGGCTGCTGTTTGGTCATAGAGACCCAGACATGACCCATGATAGCAGGCAGGTCCTGGAGGACACCATGATCCTGTGTGACAGTGTAGGCCACCCAGATCATCATGACACCAGCATGGGTCTCAGGCACCAACATAGCCACAGGTTGCAGCCCAGACTCTGGGCATCCATGTGACCGTTGGTGGTATCACGGACCATGGACATCAACGTAGAACCCAGTTATGGTAGGACCATGGAGCCAGGTCCTCAGTAGCAGCCCAGGACTGGATGTCACCATGGCCCCAGGTGGCAGCACAGGCCACTCGGACTGGCTTGGCTCCCATGGCAGCCTGACCCTCCAACACCAACATGGCCCCAGTTGGCAGCCCAGACCCCTGGCACTGGCATGGCCTTTGATGGTATCAGGAGACCTTGGCTGTGGTAAGGCCACGGACCCAGGGCCTAGACATCATCGTGGCACCTTGTGGCAGTGCAGACCACTCAGATCAATATGGCCCCGTGGTCCCAATGGTAGCACAGGCCTTGGGGATGCCAAAATGGCCACAGGTAGCAGCCTGGCATCCCAGTGACCTTGGTGACAATATCGGTCATGGTCAACACACCCCAAATGCGGTAGGACCACAGACTCAGACATGGCTCTAGGTAGCAGCCCATGCCATGATGCCACCCTGGCTGCGGGTGGCAAGCAGGTGTCAATACCAACTCATTCCCTAGCATCCTCTCTTCTTCAGAAGAGATGTGTCTCTTTCCACAACACATGAACCATTCAGTGCCTCTTTCTCTCCACATCTCCAACACACTTGTTTGTCATAAGGCACCCATCTGGCTGGTGCCTTGTGGATGCTACAGACAGGCCAGACCATGAGGACCCAGACTGCCCTATGGGCACCTTTCGTCCCATCTCCTGGTCAAACTTTTCAAACAAGTCATCTGCCTTTGACCACTCTAGACTAAACATTTTCCAGCTGAAGTTAAAGATCCAAGATAAGCATGACACATTACCGTGAAAAACCACTAATTGTTAAGTGGTCTATTTTGAAAAATATAGAATTTAAAAATACAAGTTGGGATAAACTGAGCACATACTGCCGGAACTCTGTAGTCTGACACTATCCTCTTTACCATATTTCAGCTATCTTTATTTTACATATCCTCAATAGTTTTTCATTGCCAAAACCTGAGAGTGCACATACATGCACACATGCATGCATACACATGTTGGTGGAGTTTCTGTCCCTCCTGGTCCTGCAGCCATTCAGTTTTAAAGAAACACACAGAAACTATATTAATTTCAAATTGTTTGACCTATTGGCTCAGGCTCATTATTATCTAGCTCTTACAACTTAAATTAACCCATAATTCTTGTCTATGTTAGTCACACGCCTTGGTACCTTTTATCAGTGAGGCATTCTCATCTTGCTTCCTCTGTGTCTGGGTGGCAACTTTAGACTGAGCCTTTCCTCTTCCCAGAATTCTCCTAGTGTGGTCACCCCGCCTATACTTACTGCCTGGTTACTGGCCAATCAGCATTTTATTAAACAAATACAAGTGACAAATCTTACAGTGTACAAAAGCATTGGCCCACACCACTTCCCTTTTTTTTCTTTTTAAAGCAAGACCCTGAGTCTTATCTCCTTTGTTTAGTTTTTTTCCTCACCATTATCCATAACAACTTGCAAACAACACACTAAACAAAGATAAACATCCATTATCCATTTTTTGTAGTTTTCTAGGGTACTTCCTGCTCATTTGGAGGCACTGATATTCTTATGGGGACCCAAAGAAAATGTAGAATTATTGTCAATTTCTGACTGGGTATTCTGTGAGGCTGGAACATCTCAGCCAGCAGTCTTGACAAAATAAAACCTCTTCTCCAAACTAACATTATATTTTGACTTAAAATTTTAAACTAAGCCATTTTCAAAATATATAGGTTGGATTAATCTAGCAGCATTTATTTATTTATTTATTTATTTATTTATTTATTTATTTTTTCGAGACAGGGTTTCTCTGTAGCTTTGGAGCCTGTCCTGGCACTAGCTCTTGTAGACCAGGCTGGCCTCGAACTCACAGAGATCCGCCTGCCTCTGCCTCCTGAGTGTTGGGATTAAAGGCGTGTGCCACCACCGCCTGGCTCTAGCAGCATTTATAATCAAATGTCTTTTAGCAGCTTTTGCTCCTTCTTCAGCAGTCAAACAATTCAAAGACAACACAATAGCATACAGTATCCAGATCCTTGAGTTGTTGTGGGAGGTCCTCCCACTCCTCCAGCCTATAGCCGCTGAGATACCAGCCCATTGGGGCGTGGTCTCTCTCCCTTTAAAAAAGCGGCCACTTCCCTCTCCTCTCTCTCTTCACTTCCTGCTCCGCTGGCGACTAGACTCCCTTCCTGGTTGCGTAGAGGGCTGTTGTCTTGGATGGTGATCTATAAGTTTTTTCCCCTTTAAATAAATACCACCCTATTAATCATAATTCCAAACTGGTGTGGCATTGTTTGTGACTTACACCTTCAGTTGGCACCCAACGTTTGGTGTTAGGACCTTTCCTTCCCCCGCTCGGCTGCCGGCCGCCAGTTCGGCTTGGCGCGAGCCTTCCTTCCTCAGCCGCGGCCTGGGCCTTTAAAGTCTAGATCAGCACCTATGGATGAATGGATTCAGCATACGATGAATGTTGAGGTGTTTAGCTATAATGATGAATCTTGGGTAGGAGAAGCGATTTCCAAAGCAATGAGGAGACATCAAACTGCCAGGTGTTTTAATTGTGGTAAATTAGGACATTTGCAAAGGGATTGCAGGCAAAGAATTTCTAGGAATAAAGTATCTTCTGGGAATGACAAAAATTGGAGACCTCGGCCTTCAGGTATGTGTAGGAGATGCGGTAAAAGCCGGCATTGGTCCAACGAATGTAGGTCAACAACAGACAGATGGGGCAATCCGATATCATTGGGAAACTCCTTGGGGGGCCTCTCGCAGGCCCCCAAGCCAACAGTGACCCAGTCATTCCCAGTCACAGTGGAGAACGTGCCTCACCAAGAAAATTAAAAGCCCCAATTTCTGCTGTAAAAAGTAATACTGGTCTAAATGATGAATTACATGTGGAGGATGAGTCAAAAAACCCAGTAGGACAGAGTAAACATATATTTTGGCAGACTTCTATTAATGATCAAAGACCAAAGCTAAGAGTCTGTATAAATGGCACTTTTATTGAAGGCTTATTAGACACAGGTGCGGATGTAAGTATCATTACCCCAGAATCTTGGCATCCAAATTGGCCTCTTCAAGAGGTAGATGTTCAGTTCCTGGGAATTGGAACCCTATCTCGTGTAAAACAAAGCACAAGATGGGTTGAATGCATAGGGCCCGAAGGACAAAAAGGAAGACTAAGGCCATATATAGCCAATATTGCCATAAATTTATGGGGCCGTGACCTGCTACAACAATGGAATACCCAGATTAACATTCCTGTAGTTCCAGGAACTCATAATTCTGGGAAGGATATGATGAGGTATTATGGAAAAAGGTCACCAGCCATTCAGGCTGTACAAGAACATACAGCAAATACCAAACCTTTAGAGGTACCAACAGTCCTACCTTTAAAATGGCTAACTGAGAAGCCAATATGGATCAAACAGTGGCCTCTAGCTGAAGATAAACTACAGGCATTGGAACAGCTGGTGCAAGAGCAACTAGATGCTCACCATATTGAAGAATCAACCAGCCCTTGGAATTCTCCTGTGTTTGTTGTAAAAAAGAAATCTGGTAAATGGAGAATGGTGACAGATCTAAGAGCTGTCAACAAAGTAATTCAACCTATGGGCCCACTATAATCTGGAATTCCTTTGCCTTCTCTGTTACCAAAAGGATGGCCTCTTATAGTTATTGATTTGAAAGATTGTTTTTTCACTATACCGTTACAAGAAAAGGATAGAGAAAAATTTGTCTTCACAGTGCCTACTTATAATAATTCTCAGCCTAATAGGAGATATCAATGGACTGTCCTCCCACAGGGTATGCTCAATAGTCCTACATTGTGCCAATATTTTGTAAGTAAGCCATTGGAAATAATTCATAAACAATTCCCCAAGTCCATAATTTATCATTACATGGATGACATCTTGTTATCTGATTCAAATAAAGATACTTTAGAAAGGATGTTTGAAGAAGTAAAGAAAGTCTTGCCTAGGTGGGGATTACAAATTGCCCTGAAAAGATTCAAAGAGGAAATTCTATTAATTACCTAGGTTACAGAATAGGGTTAGAGAAAATTAAAACGCAAAAGGCACAAATTAGGAGAGACCGGTTAAAGACTCTTAATGACTTCCAAAGATTGTTAGGAGACATTTCCAGTCTACGACCAGCTGTTGGGATAACACCTGATCTAATAGTTCATTTAAACAAAACCTTAGATGGTGATAAAGATTTGAATAGTCCAAGAAAACTGACAGCTGAAGCAGAAAAGGAACTGACAATGATTGAGGAAAAATTACAGGAGGCAC